AGGGAATCCCCACTGGACCACCAGGGAATCCCCACTGGACCACCAAGGACGGAGAAATGTTTCCCCTCCTCCTCAATAAAGGTAAGAAGGGAGGGGGGACATAGATATATTTATTTTAATACTTTTTTTTATTTTATTTATTAAAAAGCATCCCTTCCCTCCTTCCCGCCCCATACACACACTGCCCCACAAACACTGTCCCCCACGCACTGCCCCACATCCCTGCTCCTCCACCTCCGGCCAAGGAATCCACTCCTCCAGCCCACACTGTCTCTAAGTATAAGAGTGTGTGTGTGTGTGTGTGTGTGTGTAACTGCCTGAAACTGTGTGTGTGTGTGTGTGTGTGTGTGTAACTGTCTGCCTGAAAATGTGTGTGTTTGTGTGTGTGTGACTGCCTGAAACTGTGTGTGTGTGTGTCTGTCTGCCTGAAAATGTGTGTGTGTGTGTGTGTGTGTGTGTAACTGCCTGAAACTGTGTGTGTGTGTGTGTGTGTGTGTGTAACTGTCTGCCTGAAAATGTGTGTGTGTGTGTGTGTGACTGCCTGAAACTGTGTGTGTGTGTGTCTGTCTGCCTGAAAATGTGTGTGTGTGTGTGTAACTGCCTGAAACTGTGTGTGTAGTGTGCCTGTGTGTGTGTGTGTGTGTAACTGCCTGGAAACTGTGTGTGTGCTTCTGCCTGAAAATGTGTGTGTGTGTGTGTGTGTGTGTGTGTGTAACTGCCTGAAACTGTGTGTGTGTGTAACTGTCTGCCTAAAACTGTGTGTGTGTGTAACTGCCTGAAACTGTGTGTGTGTGTGTGTGTGTGTGTGTGTTCGTGTGTGTGTATAACTGTCTGCCTGAAACTGTGTGTGTGTGTGTGTAACTATCTGCCTGAAACTGTGTGTGTGTGTGTGTGTGTGTAACTGCCTGAAACTGTGTGTGTGTGTGTGTGTGTAACTGTCTGCCTGAAACTGTGTGTGTGTGTGCGTGTAACTGCCTGAAACTGTGTGTGTGTGTCTAACTGTCTACCTGAAATTGTGTGTGTGTTTGTAATGGTCTGCCTGTAACTGTGTGTATGTGCGTAACTGTCTACCTGTAACTGTGTGTGTATGTATGTGTGTGTATGTGTGACTGCATGCCTGTAACTGTGTGTGTGTGACTGTCTGTGACTGTGTGTGACAGTCTGCCTGTGACTGTGTGTGACAGTCTGCCTGTGACTGTGTGATGCTGCCTGTAACTGTGTGTTACTGTCTGCCTGTGACTGTCTGCATGTAACTTTGTGTGTGGCTGCCTGTAACTGACTGTGTGTGTAACTGTCTGTAACTGTGTGTGTTGGTGGCTGTAACTATGTGTATGACTGCCTGTGACCATGTGTGTGACTGTATATGTGACTGTCTGCCTGTAACAGTGTGCATGACTTTGTGTAACTGCTTGTAACTGACTGTGTGTGCGTGTAACTCTCTACCTGTAACTGTGTGTATGACTGCCTGTGACTATATGTGTAACTGTCTGCATGTGACTGCTTGGAACTGTGTGTGACTGTCTGCTTGTAACTGTCTGTGAGGGGGTGCAGGGATTTTGTAGAGGGGGCAGGGGTTTTAAAAAGTTTACAAATTTGTTCAATACATTTTTTTAAAAAATTTAAAAATATAACACATTATAAAAATTTAGTTTTTTGGGGGGGGGAGAATAGAGGGGTGGGGGGCAAACTCAGGACCCGCCCCGGGTGCCACATGCCCTAGGTACGCCCCTGACTGACAGACAGAGACTTCTCTAATCATTTCCAAGCAATTCTTGCTCTGTTGATATTTTGGGATGTTGTTGTGAGGCAACATATTAGAGGGTTTTTGTGTGTTTTTTTTTTTTCATTTTATGGTATACTGTCTTTTTTTCTTTATATCCGTCTCTATTTCTCTCTGCGGTCCTTCAGAGAATCCCTAAAAGACACTTCTCTATTGTCTCCCACTGTGCTGCCCCATCCAAGACACCCCTACTATCCTCAGGTACATTCAAATCACTTGATTCCCTTACTTCCCTTTGTGTATTTGTCCCTCATCCCTTTAGATTGTGAGCTCATTTGGGCAGGGCATCTTCACCTACTGTTCCTGTACTTCATACATATTGGAATTAAATGTTTGTATTGATTCTTATTGTATAGTGCTGCGGAATATTTTGGTTCTATTTAAATAATTGCAATGGGCCACCAGTCGTAGATTATTCTCATATTTGCATAGTGTATATTGGGGTTTATTTACTTAACACAGAATTGTAATGAATTAAAAACTAAATTGCTAAGTTTAGGCAAAATGTTATAACTAAAGCGGATTTGAATAGTGTTTCCGAATCAGTTTACCCCACCTCCCGCCCTAAATGTTGCAATTCATTTTTTAACCAAGTATTACGTAGTCAACAAACCTCATGAGCACCTTTTACACCTGTTTATACCTATTTTTTTTACCAACAAATGCCAGGATACCGGAGTTCCTTTATAAGTTACTTAAATGTCACATAACTTTTTGGGTATTACACAGACTTATAAGAAAATACTCCTGCCAAGGCTTCTAAATATTATCTTACTAACACCCATGTTGTACAAACATTTATCAGCCCCTGCATTTGGTACAACTGAGGGGTCTGGTGGTGTTGTCCCTTTAAACGTCATGCCGCGTAGGTTAGGAAAATGTCTAATGATGTGTTGGGGCTCCATTCTAGGCCAGTTGTAGAGCTAATGATGACACGTTTTAATGAGTATTAATTAGCCACCTGCCTCTGTTTGTTTACTAGTTACAACTAAAAGCAGTCTCCAGTGTTGTGTATTTTATGGGATGCTTGGTCATGTCATTTTTATTAGATTACTTCTTCTGGGAAATATTATTGTGCAGGCATCCAACACACAAGGATTCCCTTTAGTTCAACTGAAAAGAAGCCTATTTATTGTTTCTGAGAACGCCTGTCCAAAAATAATCATCCTGTGATGAGCACTAACTGGTGCAATATAAACACTTTGAATGTATGAATTATCTTTTGAATATTCTGCTGCCAGTTTAAAGGACCACTATAGTGCCAGGAAAACATACTCATTTTCCTGGCACTATAATGCCCTGAGGGTGCCCCCACCCTCAGGGACCCCCTCCCGCCGGGCTGGATGTCGAGGAAAGGGGTTAAACTTACCTTTATTCCAGCGCCGGGCGGGGAGCTCTCCTCCTCCTCTCTGCCTCCGATCCTCCTCCAGGGCTGAATGCACATGCGCGGCAAGAGCTGCGCAAGCATTCAGCCGGTCTCATAGGAAAGCATTCATAATGCTTTCCTATGGACGCTTGTGTCTTCTCACTGTGATTTTCACAGTGAGAAGCACGCAAGCACCTCTAGCGGCTGTCAATGAGACAGCCACTAGAGGATTTGGAGGCTGGATTAACCCATTTATAAACATAGCAGTTTCTCTGAAACTGCTATGTTTATTAAAAAAAAGGGTTAATCCTAGAGGGACCTGGCACCCAGACCACTTCATTAAGCTGAAGTGGTCTGGGTGCCTAGAGTGGTCCTTTAAATGTTTACAGGCCAAATAATAGACCTAACAGGCCTGACACATGAAGTGCTTGTACAGAAACTGTATGAGATACTTGGAATGGCCTTCTAATTGAATTTGTAGAGCTATAGCAGGGGTGCCTGAAAAGTAGATCCCCAGATGTTGTAGAACTACAACGCCTTGATGCTTTGCATGCCTATAGAATGACAAAGCATCATGGAAGCTGTAGTTTTAAAACATGGGATCTACCTTTTGGGAACCCCTGGGATATAGTGTGAAGCAGGGTTCACCAGAACTGGCACCTCCAGATATTGCTGAAGTACAACTCCCCTGATTCATTTAATGAAATAGATAGCCAGAGAATCATGGGAGTTGTAGTTCCGCAACATCTAGAGGGACAGATTTTTAGGGAACCCTGATATAAAGAAATTAGAAGAAAAAAAATACCTGAGAATGTGCATAGAGTAAAACCTGTCTGTCTATATAGCCAGACTACATTGGCTAGTTATGGTTTCTCTATTGTCACAATATTTACTAAACCACTAATAAACAGGAAAGCAGTGTGTTTATGCTATTTTTTAAGCACATTGTTGGACCCAACAGTTCAATTTTATACTAATATAGTGCCAAAAAAGTAGACATTTCATTTTTAATCCCTACTGTGCTCACTGTCAGGAATTCAAAGTGAATTTCAAAAATTAATTCAAATTAGATGAGATGAAAAAATGTGAGAATCTCTCTCCAATTCAGCTATGTGGACTTAAAAAAACAATTCACTTTGAAATTCATACTTTTGTGAATATGTCATATTTTCTGTTGACGCCTTACTGTATTGCAGTTATATTTGCTATACTGATTTTTGTTGGTTAGCGCACCAATAAAATATAAATGTTTACAAGCCATTCATTTTCAGTTTCTTTCTTCACTTTTCTTTCTCACTGTTTAGTACATGCTAATATGTAACACTTTGCTCCATTGATGGGCATAGATTTATACAAAACACTATATATGTTTTTCATCAAGAAATAAAACTAATATAATTTCAATGGCAGTACTCCCCCCCCCCCAAATTAACACCCCCTTTGATATAACTGAGACTCCTTGTTACCTCCTCTGTGAGAGATGTGCCTGCAGCGGAATTTCTGATGCTTCTTCCTGTGCAGCAGGGTAGGGAATTTAAGGAGCAGGACTGATGTGAGCACATAACCCCCCAGGGTGGTCAGCAGGTAGAATCCTGCTGTCATGGTGACGTGTGCTTCAGCAACCACAGCAGGTAATAAGGTAACCAATGATGAAGATAGGATGGATGCTCTTCTCCCCAGCAGGTGTACTTGGTGCACTGACACTGGGTTCTGATGGCTCTGGGTAGCCTAGTACTGGCAGCCTCTGGATCCAAATCAAATTTGTTGCCCTGGGATAATTAGAATTCCGATATATCTGGATGCCCTCTAGTTGTAACTGGTGCCCAGGCACTGGGTGTTGATATGACAAAGTGCTCACTGGTTGTAGGTGTTAATGGTGCTGACAGGACAGGTTGCCCTCTGGTTGCAGGTGGTAATGGTGCCCTGGTGCTGATGGGACAGGGTGCCCTCTGGTTGCAGGTGGTAATGGTGCCCTGGTGCTGATGGGACAGGGTGCCCTCTGGTTGCAGGTGGTAATGGTGCACTGGTGCTGATGGGATTGGGTTCCTCTGGCTGCAGATGGTAATGGTGCCCTGGTGCTGATGGGACAGGGTGCCCTCTGGTTGCAGGTGGTAATGGTGCACTGGTGCTGATGGGATTGGGTTCCTCTGGCTGCAGATGGTAATGGTGCCCTGGTGCTGATGGGACAGGGTGCCCTCTGGTTGCAGGTGGTACTGGTGCTGATGGGACAGGGTGCCCTCTGGTTGCAGGTGGTAATGGTGCACTGGTGCTGATGGGATTGGGTTCCTCTGGCTGCAGATGGTAATGGTGCCCTGGTGCTGATGGGACAGGGTTCCCTCTGGTTGCAGGTGGTAATGGTGCACTGGTGCTGATGGGACAGGGTGCCCTCTGGTTGCAGGTGGTAATGGTGCACTGGTGCTGATGGGACTGGGTTTCTCTGGCTGCAGATGGTAATGGTGCCCTGGTGCTGATGGGACAGGGTTCCCTCTGGTTGCAGGTGGTCCTGGTGCTGATGTGACAGGGTGCCCTCTCTTTGCAGGTGCTAATGGTGCCGATGGGCCAGGGTGTCCTCTGGTTGCAAGTGTAACTGGCGCCCTTGCACTGGCTCGCTGTCTCCAAATGTGCCCACCTTGCAGGTATTTGATGGCCCTGGTAGTTGGTACCTATTCCACTGGGTTTCACAGTCAGATCTGGTCGCCTGCTGGCAATTAACCCAGGCTGTGACCAATGGGTGTTGCTGCGGCTGTTTCCTGAGACCCAGGCATTGCAGGTGGGTAATGGCAGAGCTGGGGGTCCCTCCTCTCTGGCTACCTCTGATGGTAGAGATGGCAGAGACTGGCACCTCTAGGGATGCTCATCCAGGACACTCTGTCCGGGCTCTGCCAGTGGCAGCTATAGGTGGGCACCGTCAGAATGATGGAGAGTGGCTGCTGGCAGGCTTGGGGGTGAAGACCATCTGTCCTATGGTCCTATGTCTCCTCTGCAAGCCGTAGCGCTGTATGTATGACCTTTTGGAGGACTGGCTGCAGCTAATGGCTCTCTGTGCAGTCCTGGCTCCTTTATTGCCGTGTAAGCAGGTCTGTAGCTCCTCCTCGCTGTGTGCTGAGTAGACAGCTCTCTGGTGCAGCAGTTGTGCCCAGTGCTCCGGCCGGCAAGCTAAGTGCACTGCAGCAGCTCCTTCTTCCTCCAGCCGGTCAGGTTGAGCTACACTTGTCATTGCATGAGCACTGCGCATGCGCAGATCCTCAGCCCGTACAACAAAGAGCCGCTTTGCGCATGCGTCTCTTGCGGTTACTCGGGCTTCTTACTAGCGCTTCAAGCGCGCTCTGTGCTCTGTGCGGCTAGAGCTGGGGGCGCACTCGCTGTGTGTCCCTGAATAGAGACTGTAGGTTTGCGTATGATTATTTTTTGTAATGCAATGCAGAGGATCTGCATACCTTGAGGTTATTTTGAGATTATTCACTAAATTGGGACATAGTCTCTAAATTCTGCATTGTAGTACTGAAACCAAATGGCAATATTTCAGCTGATTTAGCAAAATTCTCCAACTTTCTTATAAGTTTGTCTATTTTCACCTGAATGTTGCAGTAAGTATATTAATTCATTAAATGCAGAATTCGACGTTTAGTGCATAAACACCAAAATGAATTAAAAGTGTCACTATCACTGTCAGGGGATTTTGTATATTTTGCATGACATCGCCTCTGGGGGTCTGGTGGCTGGGGGGACAGGAAAAGGTGTGTTTAACTTCTGCATGCAGGTGAGTACAGCATTAGAATCTAAGGAGGATACCTGAGATCTTACATAGATAGAGCCAATTCCCTGCAGCCATCACTGGTGACAACTGGGCGGATTGACACTTCTTAATGGCAGTAGCTCAGTACAGTGTCAAAAAGTGGCCGGCATACTTTGTCTCTATATAAACTTCTTTGAAATTCCAACACAGTCAGTGTGAATATTTCATGAAGATTATATCTTAATAAATTACTTATTTTGTAGGAAGAGTGGTTAACAGTGCCGCTTCAAAGAGATATTCCGGCACCATAACCACTTCACTTTAATGAAGTGGTTATGATTAGAGTTGAGCGGACACCTGGATGTTCGGGTTCGCCGGGTTCGGCCGAACATCGGCAAAAAGTTCCAGTTCGGCCTCGAACTTGACCCCGAACCCCATTGAAGTCAATGGGGACCCAAACTTTTGGGCACTAAAATGGCTCTAAAAAAGTCCTGGAAAGGGCTAGAGGGCTGCAAAAGGAAGTAAATCGGGGGTAAGAGTAGGACAAGTGCCCTGCAAACAATTGGGGTAGCCCCCAAAATATTGGGACATATAAAAAAAGAAAACAAAGAATAAGTGCACTTGAGTATAAAAATGGCTGGGTGAGGCCAGAATAAATGTCTATTCTGCACAAGGTACAGACAAGTCTGGTGGGATCCATGCCTGGCTCATTTTAATAAAAGTGAGCTGGTCCACGTTGGCTGTGGATAGGCGGCTGCGCTTGTCTGTGATAACGCCCCCTGCCGTGCTAAACACACGTTCAGACAATACACTGGCTGCAGGGCAGGCCAGCACCTCCAAGGAATAAAGGGCAAGCTAAAGCCATGTGCCCAATTTGGAGACCCAGAAGTTGAATGGGGCAGATCCATCAGTCAGTACGTGTAGGCGTGTGCACACGTACTGTTCCACCATGTTGCTGAAATGCTGCCTCCTGCTAAGACGTTCCATATCAGCTGGTGGTGCTGGTTGTTGTGGAGTGCTGACAAAGCTTTTCCACATTTCAGCCATGCTAACCCTGCCTTCTGAGGTGCTGGCGATGCCCCAGCTGCGTTGGCGACCTCTTCCTCCTCCTCTGCCTTCGCCTTGTGCTTCCACTGAGCCCCCGGTGTCAGTTGGGAATGCCCTCAGCAGCGCGTCTACCAGCGTGCGCTTGTAGTCGCGCATCTTCCGATCACGCTCCAGTGAGGGAAATAAGGACGGAACGTTGTCCTTGTAACGGGGATCCAGCAGGCTGGCCACCCAATAATCAGCACAAATTAGAATGTGGCCAACTCGGCAGTCGTTGCGTAGGCACTTTGGTGACTCTAGATAACCTCGGGCTGATTGCACGTCCCCGTGATGGCGAAGACGCATTCGTATGTTTGCCCTATCAACTTTCGATGGTACTTTCTGCGCCTACCATGGTGACCACGTGTAACGGGAAATCAGGGTTCGATTCCTGAGAGGGAGCCTGAGAAACGGCTACCACATCCAAGGAAGGCAGCAGGCGCGCAAATTACCCACTCCCGACGCGGGGAGGTAGTGACGATAAATAACAATACAGGATTCTATCAAGGCCCTGCAATTGGAAAGAGTACACTTGAAATCCTTTAACGAGGATCTATTGGAGGGCAAGCCTGGTGCAGAGTGACTGACCCGTGTGTGCTACAGCTGAAACTCCACTATCGCCTGCTGCTGCTCGCACAGTCTCTCCAGCATGTGCAAGGTGGAGTTCCACCTTGTGGGCAAGTCGCATATGAGGCGGTGACTATGAAGGCCGAAGTTACACTGCAGCGCAGACAGGCGAGCAGCAGCAGGTTGAGAACGCCGAAAGCGCGCACAGACAGCCCGCACTTTCTGCAGCAGCTCTGATATATCTGGGTAGTTTTTCAGGAATTTCCACACCACCAAATTCAGCACATGCGCCAGGCAAGGGATGTGCATCAAACCGGCTGGGTCCAGAGCTGCTACGAGATTTCGCCCATTATCAACAGAGTGAGGGGGTGACTAGTGACAGAGTGAGGGGGTGACTAGTGACAGAGTGAGGGGGTGACAGGTGACAGAGTGAGGGGGTGACAGAGTGGGAGAGGGGGTGACTAGTGACAGAGTGAGGAAGGGGCTGACACAGTGACAGAGTGAGGGAGGGGATGACACAGTGACAGAGTGAGGGAGGGGGTGACTGTCACTAGTCACCCCATCCCTCCCTCTGTCACTAATCACCACCTCCCTCATTCTGTCACTAGTCACCCCTTCCCTCCCTCACTCTGTCACTAGTCACCCTCTCTCTGTCACTAGTCACACCCTCCCTCTCTCTGTCACTAGTCACACCCTCCCTCACTCTGTCACTAGAGTGAGGGGGTGACTAGTGATAGAGTGAGGGGGTGACAGGTGACAGAGTGAGGGAAGGGGTGACTAGTGGCAGAGTGAGGGAAGGAAGGGGTTACTAGTGACAGAGTGAGGGGATGACTGGTGACAGAGTGAGGGAGGGAGTGGGTGACCAGTGACAGAGGGAGGGGGTGACACAGTGACAGAGTGAGGGAGGTGGTGACTGTCACTAGTCACCACCTCCCTCACTCTGTCCCTAGTCACCCCTCCCTCTGTCGCTAGTCACTCCCTTCCTCACTCTGTCACTAGTCACCTCTTCCCTCCCTAAATCTGTCACTAGTCACCCCCTCCGTCACTCTGTCACTAGTGACACCCTCCCTCACTCTGTCACTAGAGTGAGGGGGTGACTAGTGACAGATTGAGGGAAGGAAGGGGTGACTAGTGACAGAGTGAGGGAGGTGGTGACTGTCACTAGTCACCACCTCCCTCAATCTGTCACTAGTCACCACCTCCCTCTGTCACTACTCCCTCCCTCCTTCTGTCACTAGTCACCCCCTCCGTCCCTTACTCTGTCAGTAGTCACCCCCTCCCTCACTCTGTCACCAGTCATCCCCTCCCTTTGTCACCTGTCACCCCCTCACTCTGTCACTAGTCACCCCCTCACTCTAGTGACAGAGTGAGAGAGGGTGTGACTAGTGAGAGAGGGAGGGGGTGACTAGTGACAGAGTGAGAGAGGGGGTGACTTGTGACAGAGTGAGGGAAGGGGTGACTAGTGGCAGAGTGAGGGGATGACTGGTGACAGAGTGAGGGAGGTGGTGACTAGTGACAGAGTGAGGGAGGTGGTTGTCACTAGTCACCACCTCCCTCACTCTGTCACTAGTCACCCCCTCCCTCTCTCTGTCACTAGTCACACCCTCCCTCACTCTGTCACTAGAGTGACAGGTGACAGAGTGAGGGGATGACAGGTGACAGAGTGAGGGAAGGGGTGACTAGTGGCAGAGTGAGGGAAGGAAGGGGTGACTAGTGACAGAGTGAGGAAGGGGGTGACACAGTGAAAGAGTGAGGGAGGGGGTGACTAGTGACAGAGTGAAGGAGGTGGTGACTGTCACTAGTCACCCCATCCCCCGTCACTAATTACCACCTCCCTCACTCTGTCACTAGTCACCTCCTCCCTCACTCTGTCACTAGTTACACCCTCCCTAACTCTGTCACTAGTCACCCCCTTCCTCACTGTCACTAGTCACCCCCTCCTTCTCTCTGTCACAAGTCACACCCTCCCTCACTCTGTCACTAGAGTGAGGGGCTGACAGGTGACAGAGTGAGGGAAGGGGTGACTAGTGGCAGAGTGAGGGAAGGAAGGGGTGACTGGTGACAGAATGAGGGGATGACTGGTGACAGAGGGAGGGAGGTGGTGATTAGTGACAGAGTGAGGGAGGTGGTGACTGTCACTAGTCACCACCTCCCTCACTCTGTCCCTAGTCACCCCTCCCTCTGTCACTAGTCACCCCCTTCCTCACTCTGTCACTAGTCACCCCTTCCCTCCCTAACTCTGTCACTAGTCACCACTTCCCTCCCTCACTCTGTCACTAGTCACCCCCTCCCTTACTCTGTCACTAGAGTGAGGGGGTGACTAGTGACAGAGTGAGGGAAGGGGTGACTAGTGGCAGAGTGAGGGAGGTGGTGACTGTCACTAGCCACCACCTCCCTCTGTCACTACTCCCTCCCTCCTTCGGTCACTAGTCACCCCCTCCGTCCCTTACTCTGTCACTAGTCATCCCCCTCTCTCACTCTGTCACCAGTCATCCGCTCACTCTGTCACCAGTCACCCCTTCCTTCCCTCACTCTGCCACTAGTCACCCCTTCCCTCACTCTGTCACCTGTCACCCCCTCACTCTAGTGACAGAGTGAGGGAGGGTGTGACTTGTGACAGAGAGAGGGAGGGGGTGACTAGTGAAGAAGGGGGTGACTAGTGACAGAGTTAGGGAGGGTGTGACTAGTGACAGAGTGAGGGAGAAGGTGACTAGTGACAGAGTGAGGGAGGGAATGGGTGACTAGTGACAGAGTGAGGGAGGGGTGACTAGTGACAGGGGGGGTGACTAGTGAGGGAGGGGGTGACTAGTGACAGAATGAGGGAGAGGATGACTAGTAACAGAGGGAGGGAGATGGTGACTAGTGACAGAGGTGGTAACTGTCACTAGTCACCCCATCCCTCCCTCTGTCACTAGTCATCCCCTCCCTAACTGTCACTAGTCATCCCCTCACTCTGTCACTATTCACCCCATCCCTCCCTCTGTCACTAATCACCACCTCCCTCACTCTGTCACTAGTCACCCCTTCCCTCCCTCGCTCTGTCACTAGTCACCCTCTCTCTGTGCCCGAGTGGTCGGTCCGCCCCTGCTCAGATATGAAATGCACCACAGGCAGCAAATGTACTATTTAGCACCCAAAAAAAATTAATTTTTCAAAGTGCGATGTAACCACAGTATTTGACGGTTCTATTTGACTCTCAGATATTAAGTTTACGCCCCAAATTTACTTTTTAGCACCAAAAAATTTGAATTTGTTAAACTGCAATGTCACAGCAGTATTTAAAAATGATGTTGCCTAGATGTTGCCCACCGAGCTTCCAGAACAGGATTAAAGTAATGTGCCTGGCACACATGCAGTTGCAAGTGCCCACCTAACAAACAGACTGATTGCTTATTTCTCTGTGGCACTGGGCTTAGGGCAAGGTACAAAAATGTAGTATAGCACCCACAAAAATAATCGCTGTAGTTTGCAGATTCAACACCAGAATTCTTTCCTAATCTGTCCCTCAGAGTTGCAGCATCCTCTCCCTACACTAATAAGAGGTCATGTGACTCCAGTTTATACAGAGGCTGGGTCACATGCTGCACTGGCCAATCACAGCCATGCCATTAGTAGGCATGGCTGTGATGGCATCTAAGGGCACACGAGTCAAACGCTTGATGATTGGCTGAATGGGGTCCAAAAATCGTAATGTTCGGTACGAACCCGAACTTTACAGTTCAGGTTCGATCATCTCTAGTTATGATACTGGAGTTTCTTGGTGTCATTTTTGTAATGGTTTAACACAGAATTAGTGTTCCATGGCACCCGTCACAGTACCTCTCGTCTGCTACTTGCCTAATGATAGTGATGAGCTAAGAGCTTCACTTGTGTCACTGTCGCGATTTCACACCTCCTAGTGTTGAGAGGTATGCTAAAGTTGGAAAATATTGGGAAAAATACTTGGTCAATTTCCCACAATCTCAAATTTGCAGTTTTATTGTTTTCTTAGGGTTGAGTTAAGAAGTTAGCCTGCTACATCTCAAAATCAGATCAAATACGTTTTGGCTGAATGTAATCTGAAAAGTCATATATTTGGTGCAGAAATCTGTGCTTGCATAATCACAATAACCAATTCACAATCAACACTAACATGTCCACTACGTGATCACTCTAAACACTTAAACTCCTTTGCATCTTTGCAAATCCCTCTAGCTCCCTAACTTCAGATAAGGAAGATTTACTTCCTCCTTGGCAGTATAAGATCGGTCCAACTTGTGCATGAGAAAAACAAAACATTTACCAGAATAAGTGGTTCCTGACTGGCGGAGCCTATTCTTGGTCTGGGAAGGACCAGCTAGTTCAATACTTGGCTTTACAAGTTTTCCATTTTAAAGACTTTCAAGGGATTTTTTCCAGTTTAATATTTTGACTTTTTTTAATGCACACATTATACACAGGAGTGACGGCCTACCTAATGTATCCCTTGAACGAAACTGCATTGTATTCATTTCATCAGCTTGGATATGAGTAAGAAACTGATTTTGGCAATTATAGTCATTGTGATATAAATTTACTTCCTGTAGTTACACAAATAATCAGGTTCACTGTTTTCTTAAAACAATGTTGCAACAAATGTTTAACACTTTGATTAGCAGTTATGCATGTCTCAAGGGGTAGGCTCTCTCTTTTTTTTTTTTAAAGTCTAGGCACAATAACGAGTACATAAAAAAATGACCATTTCATCTCAGAATGTAGCACGGAAGTTGCTGAGAGATTCCTATTCTAAAACAGTGTAATTACAATAACAATAGTTTTTGTTATTGTAATTTTTTAGGACTACAGCTTCCCTTCTGTTTAATCCATTGTTTGTCCACCACTCTTTGCCAGTAAAAACATTTAGCTAAATAAAGATGACTAACCTCATTTCCCGTGCTGAGATTCCTACGCTGCAGCCTTAGGCTCTGCTTCCATCGATGTGAGCTTCCAAGCTGACGTCATGCATGGTAAATTAAGAGAAGCATTAGTTTTGAGAACACAATCACGGCAAAACGCCACACTACTCCAATAAAATGCTATTATCAGAAGCATTTGATTCTAGGACAGCGTTTCACTAAGGTAGACAGCCACTAGAGGTGCATTTCTACAAAACAGCATTTTTTTTACATAGAATGTTTAAAATGACAGGACTACTGCACCCAGACCACTTAATTGAGATGCCCATTGATAACACACATGAAGTAATTGACTCATGGAATTGAAAAAAGAAATATGACTACATGTCCTTGATTTAAATTTGTTTTCTTCTTCTTTTGTTTTACCAACGGTTTCTAATAACAAAATTGTGTTTGCATGCACGTAATTTTTTTTTTATAACATATTCTTTATTGTTTTCCAATAGTATAGGGATACAGAAGGAAAGCGGGGAGGGGGAAAAAAAGGGGTTAGTACATTTGGCACTTTTAACATCGTTATAATGCATATGTTGCATACGTAGGGTTTGATACATTACACGTTATTTCCTGTTGAGTATGTTCTCTGTTTTTGTCGAACATGGGCGTTCTAGCCCTATATGTGGGTCTCGCCTTATGGCAAATTACCTTTAGGGGTATGATGCTAAACTGGTGTTTGCTCCCATTGTGTGTTAGTGTGTTGATTGCCCACTATGTCCCTTCGGTAGAGGGTCATCAGTTCTAGTTACATGGTGGTTGCATTTGTTGCAATTGCAATGGGATTCGTGATGTTCTGTATTTTAGACATGCACGGAATTTTAAGGTTATATTAACGAATTCCAAAACACAATCGACAACATGTTTTCACCCAAAATTGAATGATCAAGCGAAAATATTATGTATAAAATAAGGGACTAAAGATCTCTGTATGTGTGAGCACTGGGAAATCAAAATAAAAGATTTTTTTTAAAAGTAATAGTCTAGTTATATTCATATTGATAGAAAGTTGAAAATTCAGTCCTGCATTTTTATTATTTTGCATGAAAAATAAAATTGTTTTTAAAAAATGTTTTAACATCAGAGGTTTTTAATGGCAACACATAAATCTACATCGATATACAATTTGAGGGAGAAATATGATCTTATCTTGAGATGTCTTTTTTGTGAACATTTCACTATTGGAGTTTGGTTATTTGAACTTAGTCCAGGTTGTTGTTTATTAAACATTGAATTATGAATTGAAATCAGAATTGCACAATTTCCAGGCATTCTATAGTGTTAGAAATAAAATCTGCCCCCTCCCCCTCGTGGCACCCTCATCGGCAGATGAAAGATTAAAAAAAATCTCTGCGCTTGGTCGGCTCTCTGTCTACTCTAATGACTTTCAGACGGGGGAATCTGATGCACATGGCAGTGAGCTCTGCGAGCGCCTTAGGTCCTTATGGGGATTTCACTGATGCTGAATGTCTCCAAGCAGAGCGTGAGGCTGTCTAGCGTAGTTTAAAGGACTCTAAGAGTACCTTAGAATCATGGAAGCAACTCTAGTGGCTGTTTGATAGACAGTTACTAGAGGCAGTCTTAGTCCTGCAAAGTAATCACTGCAGGACTAAGTGGGGCAGGGACACTGCACCCAGACCACTTCAATTAACTGAAGTGGTCTGGGTGTCTATAGTATCCCTTTAAGCTAAAATAACTAAACTGGTAAAATTCTCTAACTCGGTGATAGTCACAGGCTGGCTACTTTACAGTAGGTCATCCCCTTTTAAAGGCCCCCCACCCGCAGCCCATGCAGAATTTTTTTTTTTGCAACAGTGAGTAGCTGCTCATTGTCTAGTAGACATGCCCCTACTCACATCCTAGAGAGTAGGGGCAGAAAGTCTATCTTACATACCAATACTAAGTCATCTTTACTTAAAGGGACACTCCAGTGCCAGGAAAACAAACAGTTTTTCTGGCACTGCAGGTCCCCTCTGCCTCCCACCCCCCATCCCATGTTGCTGAAGGGGTGGAAACCCCTTTCAGTGACTTACCTGAGACCAGCGCCGATGTCCCTCGGCACTGGTTTAGGGTCCGCCTACGCTCCTCCCCCATTGACGTCAGCCGGCGGGGGAGACCGATTGCGCGGCCGCCGGCGGGATGAGACCTAATGCGAATGCGCGGCAATGGCGCGCACGCGCATTAGACCTCCCCATAGGAAAGAATTGAAAATGCTTTCAATGCTTTCCTATGGGGATTTTAGCAACGCTGGAGATCCTCACATAGCATGTGCTATAGACCAGGAAGTGCCCTCTAGTGGCTTTCTAGTAGACAGCCACTAGAGGAGGAGTTAACCCTGCAATATTTACAGTTGCAGGGTTAAGGGTAGTGGGAGTTGGCACCCAGACCACTCCAATGGGAAGAAGTGGTCTGGGTGCCTGGAGTGTCCCTTTAATATTAGTAAAGTTGGCTGAAAGACAAAATATTTTATTAAATATTTTATAAATAAAGTAACTAAACTTACTTTATCTGCTGTTTTTTTTTTTTTTTTTGCAATTCTTTATTTTTGCGTGCAAGGTTAGTTACAATACTACCCATATGGCCACAACAGCCTTCCGGGTTTTCAAATGTTTCATGACATCACAACATAGTTTAGGCATACATAGCAGTCTGTCGATTCTAATCTGTGGTGTTAGCTAGTTCTGCACATTTTAATATAATTTATGGATCAGTTGGTGTCGAACTGAGGCAACATTGGAGTACTTTTGAGGAGTGTGTCTTTTTCCCCCTCCAGTGCTAGGATTGTAGTAGTGTGGGGGGGTAAAGAACCCAAGGGTTGTCTGTTTGGAGTTGGTTGGTTGCGTGTTTGTGCCCCCTTACATGTTCCCTGAAGGGGTTAATTGTGTGTACGAATGGTTGTCCTCAGTGGCGTTTGTGTCCACAGGTGAGTGCTATGAAGTCCGCGTGTCAGCGTGTGTCCGTTTGCGTATAGTTATACGTGTGTATAGGGGTTGTCGCTCATTGAGCCTATGTGTGCCTCTGCGATCGTCCAGTGGGTTGGGAATTGACTCCTTACCGAGGAGGTCGCGGGTGGGGTGGGGGGAGGTGTAGTCTCCCTGGAGCTTTTGGTGTATGTGTCAGGGTGGGTCTTGTCTGATG